AATTCAAATTTTTGCCGCGCGATGTGTCTGAAAGTGACCGAACGTTTCTACTTGACAAGCTTATTATTGTCAAGCAGTACAATTTGTTTTCTCTTTATATGTTATCTATCGTTAATTTCCAAAAAAACCGCGAGATTTCAAATGTTCTTGATTTTTAAAAATTTTTGGACTCAAGTACTGATGACGTCATGTAAAATTAGTGAATTTATGAAAATACTTTAAAGCATATTAAAATATGATCTTAGCTCTAGTATCTCTGTTAGGACAGAGGGAGTACAAGAAAAGCCCTTGCGATATTTATTAAATTTTAAGCGTGATGTAAAACTGTGATATATCCTAAGACAAAGATCTTCCAAAATTAAATCAAAAGAAACACTGTAGAAGCATGCTTCTCGTTTCTTCGCAGATCCAGAATTTCCAAGATTTGGAACACTTTATGCATCCCAGGCACGTGAGTCTGTTGGAATCCGTATACTCGCAGGTAGAAGACATCGATCTGCTTCTCGGTGGGATTTTAGAAACTCCGAGAAACGGCGCAACCGTGGGTCCGACGTTCGAATGCCTTCTGAAGAGGCAGTTTATCAAGATGAGAAACTCCGATCGATTTTGGTACGAGAACGACATTCCACCGTCCGGGATGACTCCGGCTCAATTGGCCGAAATTAGGAAAATCTCACTGGCTGGTATTCTCTGTGCCAACACGAGGATCGAGAGGATTCAGCCGAAAGCGTTCATCCAGCAAGATCCGTACCTGAACGCTAGAATTAACTGCGACCAGCACAGCGTTCTCGACATCACTCCGTGGAGAGAGGAGCCTCTCCAAGAACCTGCCAAGGAACTGGCGACTCGCAGAAACTCTGGCGTGATCCCGGAATTCGTGCCAGAACTCAGTCCCAGTTTGATAGCGGCAGCTGTGAAGAAAGCTGAGGCAGATCTGATCGAGAGGAAACAACTGGAGTACAATTCGTGGCTGCAGCAGAGAACAGCGGATCCTAAGTCGCCAGCTGGAACGGCTGCCAGTTTCTCCAAAGCCAACAGGGACGCTCTCTTATTGGCCAACTCTTCGATCATGTACGAGTTGGCTACCAACGAGATTCTGAATGGCATTCACGGCCTGAGACGAAGGAAACGACAGATCTTCGACACCACGGACAACGTGCTTGGTTTCCCGAATAACGACTTCTCCGATTTGCTGCAGAACGTGGATATATCCGGGTTCCTGTCACAGAAGAAGCCTACCAATCACGACGAGGTCGAGTGTCCCGTAGACGACAGCCCTTGCGATCCAACTAGTCCGTACAGGACGTTATCGGGCCACTGTAACAATCTACGCAACCCCAATCTTGGGAAATCGCTGACGACATTCGCGAGATTGCTACCTCCGGTCTACGAGGATGGAGTATCGAAGCCTAGGAGCACGTCTGTCACTGGAATACCCCTGCCAAATCCCAGAGTCATCTCCACAGTGATCCACCCTGATATTTCGAATCTTCATAATCGATACACCTTGATGGTCATGCAGTTTGCTCAATTTTTGGACCACGATCTGACGATGACGCCGATCCACAAGGGTTTCGCCGAGTCCATACCTAGCTGCCGTCCGTGCGACTCGCCTCGTACGGTTCATCCCGAGTGTAACCCGTTCCCAGTGCCTCCTGGTGATCACTACTATCCTACGGTGAACGTGACTTCCGGCGCGCGAATGTGCTTCCCATCTATGAGATCTTTGCCGGGTCAACAGCATCTGGGGCCCCGAGAACAGATCAACCAGAACACCGGTTTCTTGGACGCGTCCGTGATCTACGGTGAAAACACTTGCATTTGTAATATTCTGAGAGGGTTCAACGGTCGTATGAACGCCACTCAGAATGCACACAGAGGAGGCAAAGACCTGCTGCCGCAATCCCCCACGCATCCAGAGTGCAAAGCCAAATCCGGTTATTGTTTCATCGGTGGCGATGGCAGAGCCTCGGAGCAGCCTGCGCTGACTGTCATGCACACGATGTGGGTACGAGAGCACAACAGAATCGTGGAGTCGTTGCGGCAACTGAACCCACACTGGGACGGCGAGAAACTGTTCCAACAATCTCGTCGTATAATCAGCGCCATGTTGCAGCACATCACGTACAACGAGTTCCTGCCGCGGATTCTCGGCTGGAACGCGGTCACACTTTACGGGCTGAAGCTTCTACCTCAGGGTTATTACAAGGAGTACTCGCCTACCTGCAATCCGAGCGTGCTCACGGAGTTTGCAACCGCTGCTTACAGAATCGGGCACTCGTTGCTGAGGCCACATTTGCCGAGGATGGACCGAAATTATCAGAGTATGGAGCCTTCAATTTTGCTGAGGGACGGATTCTTTGATCCCGACATGCTCTATCAGAAGTCCATGATGGATGAAATGACGCGAGGCTTGGTGGCCACTCCCATGGAGACATTGGATCAATTTATAACCGGAGAGGTTACCAATCATCTGTTCGAGATCCGCGGAATTCCGTACTCGGGGGTGGATCTCATTGCGCTTAACATTCATCGCGCCAGGGACCACGGCATACCGTCGTACAATAATTACAGAGCTCTGTGCAATCTGAAGAGAGCTACCACTTTCGAAGATTTGTCGAGGGAGATGGCACCGGAGGTTATAGCTCGGATGAAACGTATTTACGCGTCGGTGGATGACATCGACTTGTTCCCCGGTGGAATGAGCGAAAGGCCTCTACAGGGTGGATTGGTCGGGCCTACGTTCGCTTGTATAATCGCGATACAGTTCAGGCAATCGAGGAAATGCGATCGATTCTGGTACGAGACCGACGACCCCAACATCCGGTTCACCGAGCATCAGCTCGCGGAGATTCGCAAATCTACGCTGTCCAAAGTCATGTGCGAGAACATGGACGAGTCTAACGAGATGCAACGAGCGGCGTTCGACTTGCCGAGCAACTTCCTGAATCCGCGAGTTCCTTGTAACTCGATGCCACAGATGGACCTGTCCGCTTGGAGAGAAACGAGACATGGCTGTCAGATCGGAGGGAGGAACGTCGCTCTCGGAGAGTCTGGTTTCCCTACACCCTGCACTAGTTGCATCTGCACAGCCGAAGGAGTACGTATATTTAACTTTTATTTAAAAAAAAAAAAAA